TTCTGTGGGCGACAGCAGACCAGGTCATCAGCGCAGAGCAGGAGCACGATCTGTGCATCAGCGGATGTGTCAGGGAAACGCTCTCCTGAGGTGTCAGTGTGTCTTTGGGCTGAGCACTGCGGTCAGGCAGAGGATGGTGGGCTGACATTGAGCACGCTGATGGAGGAAGGGTCCAGGTGAGCGACAGTGTCGTCCTCTGAATCTTCCTGGTGTCCCCTCTCATCCTGCCACTGAAAGCCTGGGCCCTTTAGAGAGCTGGAGTGGTACAAGCCGGGACACTGGGGTCACCACCTCTGGTGCAAACGGGAGTCTGGACTACACACTGACCAGTGCAGCACCGGTGGCGTCTGGCCTGCAGACTGGCAAGGGCGCGAGGGGGCGTGGTCAGGGGCTCTGGGCTGTGGCAGGAAGTCAGGCTGGCGCTGGCGCTGGCCTGGCTCTGCGGTCGCGAGGTTAAACGGCCTGCACACCACAGCGCTGACATCCGGCCCTGCACTCTGTGGGTCACTGTGGATCTGCGCTGTGGACCGCCAGTCAGCCTCAGCACTTGGCCATTTTTAATCAATCCTGGCGGCATTATAAACATGATAAATACTGCAGGTACAGTGAACCCCATCTCTCCTTCACGTACGTCTTTCTGCAGGGGGTCCCAGCCCCCTGGTCCTGGGCTGGGAGCTTGGCCCCCAGCCAGGCGGGCTCAGCACAATCTATGGAGACTTAAACACTCCACAATCCTTTCTGTACACTGGGTTATTATCTAGTGAACTACAGAATATAGATATCCAAGAGCTATAGAATATGTATAGTGGATCAATAAGCCAGCTTCGCACTGGCTACTGCAGTCCTGGCGAACTGAGCTTCCTATCCAGCTGACATGAGCTTCGTCCAGCTGACCTGAGCTTCGTGACCAGCCAACCTGGGCTTCCTGTCCAGCTGACTTGAGCTCCCTGTCCAGCGGACCTGGAGCTGCTGTGATCAGAGGGAGCTGAAGATGAAATGCCAGACTAACACTGTTCACAATGCTGAGCATCTGCAGCTACAGAGCTCAGAAGGTGCTCCAGCACATCGTCCATCTGCTGCCTGCAGAGATCGACCAACCGCAGAACAGGAACCCCGGTATGTGCTTCTTATGTGCTTTTCAAATATTTTACAGTCACTGCTTTAGATTGCAACACACGTGTGGAATGAACAGTGAAGCTTCTCCTGCACACTAATCTCCTGCACAGGACCCAATGACAAAGGCTGGAGGGGCAGGGAAGGGGTTAACTCCATCAGGGAGCTCTCTTACACACATACCAGGGCTGGAGCAGGAGGAGGGAAGAAAAATTAAAAAGACCTTTTGTCCAATCAGCACCGTACAGCTTATACAGTTTGGCCAATAAGATACACAGGTTCTGGGTCTAGCTGTGTAAGCCGCACCCCCTCCCTATTTCACTTCAAGAGTGTCTGTCTGACAGCCACGCCCACTGGGGCACACGAGCACCCAGTGAGACACACACATTCACGAGCAGACACGCACGTGAGCTGGTGATGAGTGTGTCTGAGGGGGGTGGCGGGGGCTGGTGTATAAAT